GGTCCGGGGTTGAAACCAAATCCATCCCTTTAAAAATTTCAAAGGGCCAACTCTGTGATATTTCTAAATTTTTGGCAATCAAATCTTTTACCGAAATCGTATTTTTTCCCTGTTAAGTTTTTTTTTATTTCTAAAAATTTTTGGGGGCACCAGATTTGATCCCAAAGGAAATTTTGGCAAAAACAATTAAAATAAAAAAAATCATTTTTTTTTTTAGATACCACATTTACCTTTGGAAATACGGGTTTTTTCCTTTAACAAAACACCATAAAAAAAATTTAAAAAAAATTTGGACTCGACTGGGTTTAAAACTCTAGCCCCCTCATCCCACAAACACGGTTCCCCCCTGAACCACAGAATTTTTAAAATCAGGGGCTGAAAAAAACAATCATTCAAAATTTTAAAATTTTCCCTTTGTTTTCTTTTTAAACCCAGAAACGGGCAAATTTAAAAAGTACCTAAATTTAAAATTTTCCCTTTTGCTTTTCGTTTGGGGAATTTTCGAATTTTTTTTGGTCGGGGGAAAAACCCAAATTGTTTAAAAAATTGAAGTAAATAATTAGCAAAAATTTTCTCCCCAAACGGGTCCCAACAGGAAAAATTTATATTAAACACCCGGCCATAAATTTAAATTTGAGTTTTCTAACGACACCGCAAAAAAACCCTTTTTCTTTGGGGATTTAAAACCCCAATTCATCCGCGAAATTTTGGAATGGCATTTACTGACAATTAAAAAGCCAACGCTATTTTAAAATTTTTAAAAAGTGTAAAATTTTGGCCCTTTGTAAAAAAAAAATTTTCTTTTTTTTAAAATTGGGGTTTTTAAGCTTTTGAGGGAACAATTTTGGGGTTTTTAGGTCTTTTTGGGGAATTTTGTTTTAAGCCCGGGATTTTTACATAAACTGATCTCGATAAAAAAAACAAAAAAAAATTCAAGGGCCCCATTTTTTTTTGGGGCCCAATTAACCGCAAATACAACTTTTTTTTTACTGGGAATTTTTTTAAATGGAAATTTTTAAAATTTAAATTTTTAACATTTTATTTTTTTTATTTTCCCATCTTTTATTTTCCTCCCAAATGCAAATTTTACCAAAGGGTTTCGAAAAATTTAGGGGAAATCTTTTTTTGTGCGCAAACCCCCAAAACCTTTTGCGCTTTTACCCCGGAAAGCTTTGGGGACTTAAGATTTATTGCGACTAACCAGCTTTGCGACTTTTAGCTTTTATTGCGACATATAGCGGGGGTTGCACATATACCTTTCACAGCCACAAAAAATATTTTAATCCCCCCGAAATAAAACCCTTTTAAACGAAATTTCATTGAAAATCCAGGGGTCAAAAAAAATTTTACCGGGTTGGGAATACACATGTTTCAACCCCAAAGAAGGGTTACTTTTTTAATTTTGCAAAAACTTTAGAAAAATTAATAGGGGGAATACAAAAGTTTTACATTGCCCCAATACAAAAAACCCTTGCCCCCCCCAAACCTTAGTTTTTTTTTTTTAGCTGGCAACTTGTCTACTTGTACAAAGATACTGAACAATTTTTTGGATTAAGACAGGACCAGGGGAATAGGGTTTTTTTATTTTTCCCTTTTTGGCAAGGGAAAAAAATTTTTGATAAAAAATCGTTCTGAAAAATACACAAATAAAATGTATTTTTTAATCATTCGTTTGTTAAATAATTCAAATGTAAGTTAATTTCGACTGAAGATACACGCCATGCCCGTCGGCCTAAAATAGCAACGTCTGCAAAGATGGTTGCTAAAGTGAAAGAAATACTTAATACCGATGCAAGATACACCACTAGGAAAATTGCCAGTTCTGGGTAGTTTTCGCATTTACAAATTAGCAGGAAAAAACTTGCATACAATTCCCTGAGTTGTTGCTTAAACAGTATCTAAAAAATTATACACGTTTTGTTTTTGCAAATGTCACTGGAGACGAAACCTGGGTTTACCTTTATGAGCCAACACGAAAACACAAAAACAAGATTTGGGCTACAAAGTGGCCAAAGACCACATATTGCAAATAAAAAGAACAGTCAGTATAAAGAAGACAATGTGCAAAATTTGGGTTCCTTTCTATAAAACATACCATTCAGGCCAACAATTTGTTCAGCGTCTACAATATTCAAGACTTTTCATCCGAGTGAAACTTTGTATATCAATTGGAAGTGAATACTTCGAGGGAATAGAATAAAAATACAGTTAAACCTTTTAAGAATCACGTTTCACTTGCTTGGATGCATTCATGCTTGAACACTCCTAGTAAACCTGGTTTTACCGTTTCTGACCAATTTCTGAATGCACAATAAACATTAAGATAACAAATATATAAATAAACAATAATCATTAAATGTCTATTTTTACAAAAAAGGTCAAAGATGTTGTTTTGATATAGAGGTTAATAATCACACTTACAAAGAATGTATCCATTACCTCCCCATTCCCACATCGCCTTGCTTTTTCTTCGGCATTATCTTGATCAAAAAGTTTGTCAATATTCAACAGGGTATATAGTGGACGGATCGGATTTCTTTCTATTATGTTCAAGCAGTTACCAACTGAACCATAGGAGAAACTATTGCACAGAGAGCAATATAAATTGTTATACACATTGCCTAATTCGTTGAATATAAAGTAACCGGTGTCTGAAAAGAAGGGAGGTAAATCTGTATAGTTTCATTAAGTAAAAGAAATATGAAATGGAGGTGACAAAACAATTGCTTGAAAATGTCGAAATACATTCTGGGAGTTGTGCTATAGTGGTTAAGGTGTCTGCCTCTTAGCCCCGGAATCGTGTGTTCGATCTGGTCCTTTACTGGGGCACGACCATGTATTGGTTCAACAAGTTTCAAATAGCGCACTCAACCTTGAATAAATAATAACTTATGTTTATAACTAAATACGCACCATGGATGAGTGCATGTTAAAATTTATCTTAAGGCTAACGAACTTCTATAAACTATCACAGTCATTATTTGAGAAAATACCAGCAGAGTCCGTAATCGTTAGTAAAGTTTGTATTAATTAGATTATTTAACTGCAATACCAGATAGGAAAATATATGCATAGCTGTACCTGTTTTATTGAGACAGAGGTCGTTAAGTTCACTATCAAAGGTTTCCCATTCACCCGTTATGTTACACTGCTTTGTAACAGTTGAATCTTCAAAACAAAATGTTTTCCAAAAGTCAATGTTGGTCGGCGGAGTGAACTGTATGAGGCAGTTTGACAGTATTTTTGTGGATATAGTAGCAATGTCTATGGTCTCTTGCTGCAGAACTCGGCGGCAACTTGGGGGTGAAGCTTTATGTACAGTTATATCCCAGGTGAAAGTCCTTTGTTCATTGTGGCAGTAACTGCAGTATTTGTTTTTGTAAACCACTGCCCCGTCATGAGAAGAAACCGGACGAATGTCTATAATTGTTTTAGGTTTAACGTTTTCACAGTTGGCCTTCATAGTGATATCATGATAATCTTTTGGACATTTTGTTCTAGTGTAATACGAAAGAAACTTTACCCTTACATGGGTGTTGTTCGGTACATATGCGGCAGGAAGACATTCTTGTTGTATACTAATGTCCACATCCAAGCGTCTGTCTTTATCCCGGCAACATGTACCCTTCTCTACACATATCTCGTCACATTCACATGGTCTACAGCAAGTATCTTTTTCTAGCACATGTTCGGTGATGTTTATTACGCACGTTTGCTCATATCCGCAAAATCTCGCTTCCAACGTCGCGGCGTATGTATTATACAGTGGCAATGATGCAATAAGTACGCATAAAATAATACAACGACACTCGTTTATGATATACATCTCTGTTACTGGAAACGACAAATTGAGTCATTTTATAATGATGCCGAACATCACGTGGAGGTGTTTAATTGGTTGCTTAGTAACATATTAATTACGCCTAAGCGAAGGCACCATGTGTATTTAATTTATAGTCTTTATTGTGTAAGGGGTTTGCATGAACCAAAGGCTGTTAATACTTTGTTTTTATTCTTATGTAATTACTTCTTTGAAGCAATTTGAATTGAAAAGCATGTCATAAATCTCATACAAGTTTCCTCTGTTAATCTATGTTTTGCAAATAACGACCATTAGTGAAAAACACTAAAATGAAGCGCTCAAAAAATCTAACTGATTTAATTGCGTAGTCATTCTACTCTTTATTAATTAATGATTTATAAAGTTTTCATGTAGATATTTATTTGAAATCCTTTGTGGTTTTTAAGGTGTATGGACAAAATAGATCTTTGATGTAACTAATATCATATAGGTTACGTGTATAGTTGAAACCTTCTTTAAAACTTATTATACATGTTACATAATGTCATATCATTCATAACATTTACACCAAAAGTCATTTACCTGGCTGAATCAAACAAAACCTTCACCATTTTTAATTTTGCCATTTTCAGCGTTCTTCAATGTTCCTTTTTTAAACGCAACTTAAGTTTTCATCAACATTTATTACTTAAGCATAATTTATAGATCTGATTCACACATACAATACACATTTTTGTTTAAAACTTGTAATTTTGGAGAGGTAAATGAAAATGTCAAATTATTTATCTTTTGAACCAAAATACAGGCAAGACCCGGTTAAACGACCTCATTTCAGTTTCATCAGACAAATTTCAATAAATTCGGCGCTGTGGTCTAGGTGCAGATAAATGTTAATTGTGGGCAACATCCCTCAATCTATATTAAGCTAACACTCCGGATTTATTATATAATATGATAAATTTAATGTATTATAATGATTTTATGCGCTCATTTTTTCGCAGTCAAGTTGGGCCGAATTATATTTACATATTTATCAAGAGATTCGCTAACATGATGAAGATTGACCAATAAATGATAATGAAAAATGTGTAGGATAAAGTATAAAAACTACTTTTATTATAATAATACTGCCACATTCTTTTTAAGAATTAAATGTTACAGATACATTCAAGTTGTTGACAAGACTTTTGTTAAAAACGTCAATGAAAATAACAAGACTTATATCTGAGACTTCGATTATTTAATTTTTTTATTTACATTTTAAAACTAATTTCATGTCAATATGTAGTTTATGCTGGTGTTCTATTTCCCATAGAATGGTATTATTCAAGATTTCACCGCTTGTATTACACACAGTACTACAAGCGCCAGTGATAATACATTGTATATTGCTGCTGTACTAGATGGTGATGTATGTAGATTGTAGCACAGTTATGCCACGGCATCGTTCCTGGGCATTACATGTACTAGTTGTCTTTACTTTTGCAAGTATCTGATAACTTCCTAACATGCCAGATCAGGGGTTCAACGCGAAAGACCGTAGAAATGATTCAATGGTCAATCACAACAACGGGAACCTGCATCTTCCGGAAGTCAACCTTACACATTCCTGCGTTATAAGATATACTAGGTAAAATAGCATACATTATCAAATATTGATAGTGAAAATAACACATTTAGAGAGACATTTCGGAAACTGAGAAAAATAAAATAATGACTAGTTAAGCTATGACATTCTTTTGTTTTTATCTTTGAATAATTATCCAAGAGGTCCATGTGATTCACAAATGTGAATTATAAATTTGAATAAGAAGACATGAGAAATTTAGATCATTTAGATCTTGATATATAGATAGAATATAATATAGGTAAACTTGAGATTACATGTATCATATTCATATTATAAACACATTCTGTTTTTCAAATACAAATATGACAATTTGTATCATCAACAAACAGAATCAAAAAAAATTTTTTTCTATCCATATACTAGCACAATAATCATTACAGTAGTAATATTCATCATCAAGCAAATATTATACATTGAGGTGTATATAACCTTTATGAATACATTATTGTAAATTAGATATACTAATAACACACAAAATAGGGAGGAATAGGAGGTCAAATTAGAATCTTGCCAACACAATACAGAATAAGCTAAATCTTTGGAGGTGAAAAAGATAAAAATGTTTACTGCTAAAGTTATAAGCGACCATTAGAAAATTGTTTATTGCCTACGTAAACCATGAATTAAAATCCACTTATGAAAAAGACTTATAAAGGTCAATTTCATTCAACCTTATAATTAAGTTATTTGTACATCAAAATAAAGAACATTTAAAAAGAGAAATAAAACGTCGGTTTGAGTCAACTGTATAATCTGGACAGAGCATTCGTGGGAATCTCAATATATTGGGTACAACAGGTACAATAGGTTTGGTGAAAATTCACAAAAGTAAAAGGTTATGTGAATTAATATGTGAAAACTTGATATATGAACTCAACATGAAACAAATTAACTTGGTTTGTACAAAACGACTTTGGCTACTATTCACAATTTTTTTCCGACGGGTTGTGGGTCTGTATTGTCATATCTATATATTCACAGTTTGTATCCTTATCCGTTTTGATTCCTTGCATCTCAATGTATGCCCCTGTTGCAGTACATTGCTCATCAATTTGTTCATACAAATTTTCTGCATCATTGTCATTATGCCTAGTAGTAGCCTGATATTCTGTGATAACCTCTAGAACAAAACATTTTTAAGAACAATTAAAAAAGGATTGAAATCTAAATATATTTACTTTACTGTAGCAATCAAATATTACGTTCCGCTATAACTTGTAAAGTAATCAAATGTGAATACATTTTGAATAATACCACTTACTTAACCTTACTATACACTTGTAGGTGTATAATGATAAAGATTTATTGTGAGATAAAACTCTGATGTGAAAATGTCAGGACATGCTTAAAAGACTTTAACGTGTTTATTAACAAGAGGATATCCGGTTATTGGTAAATTAGTATTGTTCTTATTTTAGTAACTTCTAATCATTACTAAGCTAGCTTTATATGATGTCTCTAAACGTTTATATTTTCCTGTTTCATTGTGACTGATTAAAACATGCGTTAAAACTGCATACCAGCTGTTTTTCTGTTTGTTATCTTCAAAGTGCGTTTACGTCTGAAATAAAAGATAAATAGTGATATAGAAATAGCTGTTGAATAGCTGCATACATATTTTATCCACATGTTCTTTATATAATTATCGCATGTTTTTTCATTTAAAAGAGAAAAACTATCTGATAAACTTGTAATGTTACCAACATTTCGAACGAGGTAAAATAGACTATGGCTGAAATACGCAATTTTATTATTTTATGTGGACCAAGATATGAAACAGTGGTTTATTTTCATATAAATTGGGATTGGGATCTTTTGTTTGTGTGTGTTTTTATTTGTTGTTGTTTTTTTGTCGAGGGATGCTTTTTTGTATTTTTCTTGTGGATTTCTGTTGATGTTGTTACTTTTTATAAGTACATTTGATTTTTTTTTGTTGTTGTTGTTTGTTTGTTTTCTTTTTTTTTGTTGTCTTTTTTTATTTATTTATTTATTTATGTTGTCCCTTTTGTGACATTTTCATTACCTGGTATATATCCAAAATAAGAATGCCAATACAATCACTAAAAAAGTGAAACTAGATACACCAACTGTGACCCCAAATAGTGTCGAGGCTGTTATAGGCTCGGTTGAATGTTGAGGAGCTGTATTTTAGGAAAGAAATATATAACTACATTAACTTAAAGCGCTTTCGTGTTATTTCCCATCTTACATTTGTAAATCATGATTCACTACAGTTGCACCTGTAATAAGCTACCAATCAATAAATAATATTTTTAAAAGGTAATTACTAGTATAAGTTATATACATATTATGGTGTTTAGTATGTATGTCAGTTAATTATCTTTCAAAAGGCAAACATATGCTTTATAATGTGAAGTAATGGATTTAAAACATGTTAACTGCTAAATCAAGCGGGGAAAGCCGAGATGAATATAAAAACGTAAGCAAGGTGGTATTTTGATTCCTTACAAATATCAAAATCACATAGAACATTACTAATCACAAGTTGTCCAACACAAGAGATAACTAACCAATATAGTCCATAATTAAGTACCGTTTACGAAACTGTTACAGAACAACAAACAGACACATTTGAAAAATGAAAATTGTAGCATAGCATCGCTTTGTGACTTTGAAATATTTTACTTTTAGGGAAATGTAGATTATCAAGAAATGTTAATTGACACGTAATTTTATTTTTTTAACATTTATTGTTTTTACCTTTTTCCAGCAATTCATAATAGTAGGTATTATGTCCAAATGAATTCCTGACAACAACTTGGTACTGTCCATAATCTGAGTATGTAATGTTTCTGATTATCAAGTTAGATTGTAACCCATAAGATGATATAATATACTTATTGCCGTCATTTTGTAATGGCACTTTCTGTTTATACCATGCGAATACTGTTTTGTTTTTCTCGTCAAAAAAGTCTTGAGCTAAAAATTGTAACGTGACGTCAACATGCAGAAGAGCAGTTATCTTTGTTTCTTTTACTGTATCAGCTGACGGACGTGGACGACCTATAAACATGATCAACGATGTAAATATATTTAGTCACAAAGAGTCATCTAAAACTTATACATGTCTCTTGCAAACTTAACTTGGTGCTTCATTATTTTTTATGTGAAGTAAGTATGATCTGTAAATTTTTTAATACAAGTTAGTACAATGTTACTTAAAGAGAATTGATATAAACTTTTCCAAAGCTTTATCTTTTATGTTAGATCTTATTCCAGATCAACGGTTTCTATAGATGAAATGACATGCACGAAAGATTGATAAATTTACAAATAAAAGATGAAAAACGGACAGAATAGGAGTTTTAAGACTTACATCTTACAATGAGAATGAGTCTTGATAGTGCTCCTTCTCCATTTGTTAACATATTTCTAGCAGAGCATACATACTCCCCTGCATCAGCACAAGATACTTTAGGAATAGTATGTTGAACATCATAAGTGGCATATTTCATCATTATGATTTGTTCATCTCTTTGATTCCTGATAACAATGTCTGGATGAGGATTAGACTCAGCGAAACATTGAAAAGTCACCTCTTCATTTTGGTTTACAATCAACCTTTCTCCTGCCTCAGTTCCGAAGTTGAAGCGGACCTCACGCGGTTGAACTGAAAGAAATGTCATATAGATATAACTAATAAGAGTATCTGTATTTTGTAACTTACGACACTTAAATACTTGAAGTCGTGTTCTATTTCCGTTTCGATATCATCTGATGAGTTCAACTTAATCGGTTGGATTATTGCTGTGTTTACACATACCGGTATCTTAATAAATGTGCAAATAAGCAGCTTAATATTAACATAAGCATTACTTTAGCAGCAAAATATTTTCGAACATGCATCTGAGAAAATAAATTAAGATTTACCAGATCATGAATAATCAGTTATGGTTATTGACAAAGTTAAAAATCAAAACATTTTAATGAAATTTCAATTACACAGCACATCAAGCATGACGTATGTTTTTTTGTGTACCACTAATGATATGATCAGACTCGCATATGCATTGACTATGATTGCTATTCACTTGTAGTGCAATGTACACGGTCACCGTCGTTTCTTTGGTAACAGTTGGTGTTGAATTACTGTTGAAACAGGACATTCTTAAGGTCGCTAATGGTTTTCCACCAGTTACAGAACAGGTCAATTCAACAGATTCGGACTCAACAACCTGTATCGTAGAGCCGGTTCTGTAGCTAGCTATCATTGGGGGAACATAAGGCGGATCTTAAATGATAAAAACGCAATTGAGCAAAAATCATTTTTTTCGTGGCACACTTGTTTGCGTCGTTTTCGTCGATAGGCCAAACCAAGAATTTAAGAACACATCCTCTGGTGTACAATTATTTTTATTACAATATTTGCATTTTACTTTTTGCTAAGGCAGGCAGTTTTCGAACTTGAGAAGCAACAAAAATGTCCTTTTTGACAAATCTATAAAATTGCATGCTTACGAAACTATCTGAATTCATAATAAGTACATTCACAAATGTTTGAACAGTTTAAAGTCTTTCATTTTAGACTTTAAATAATAAATCTTATTTTGGTATGAACAAAGGAAAATAAATGTAACTTTCGAAATATATAGTACAAATACGTACATGCCACGTTCAGTACAAATTCTTCGCTGAAAATGTCTGCTGCTTTCACTTGTGTCCATACTGTGCAATATAAATACCAGCGGTCTAGTGTTCTGTTCGGAAGAATCCGAAGTATACTCTCAGCTACTGTCAGCCAGTTTTCTTTTGGAATATATGATTCTGCCGAATGGTTTGTTATATCGTAAGTTATATTGTTGATGGGATTCCATAAGTACCATTTAACTGATGGTTTTGGTAAACACGCCGAGGTTTTGCAACTAACAGTTTGAATTTGATTTTCATTTATGTAAATACTATTATTTGAATGAAAGTCAAAGATAGCTTCCGTGGCAGGAATTGCAAATATATATACAATGTTCAATGAAATTGTCAATTCAAACATTAGATTTTTTTTTAAATAGATCGATCCTGAATCTTTTAACTGTATTTCAAATGTGTATGTTTCCTGGCTTTACAGCTTTGAAATGTTGCCTCATACTTCAATGCAGTGTTGTTTTATTTTTCTTGTCCTTCGGGCTTTTGGATTCCAGCACTTTTAAAGTGTTGAATATTGAGTACCGCTCAAGCCGGTGTTCGTGGTTGTGAGGGGTGTTGCATTTTTTTCAATATCCCTCATTAACAGACTCAAACAAACCGAGTCTGCAATAATTCTGTTTTCATTTTTAGTCGAAATTGGTATTTTGCAAGTAAACAAAACCAACTTTTAGTCATTATTATTAGATAGTTAATAAAATGACTTTTATTGATATTATCCTGACAATGAATTTCAATGAAATTTTATACATTAATCTTGACTAGTAAACTGCGGTAGATATATTAAAATGATACATTCTTACCTCGAACAGTAATATTAGCAGTAGCACTTTTTCCTTTATCGTCATAACAATACCATTCCTGACCATGGTTACTCAAATTCACACGTTTTATGTTTATTTTGAAGGTGCTGTTACTAAAGCAACTCGTTTCAAAATATCGATTGTCACCTAGGAACCCATCTGTTATACAGCCTCCATTGTCCGATACAGATACAGATATAAGATACAGGTGAGAAAATGTGTCCAGGTGATTTAAAATTCCCCATTCTGTAACTGTTACGTTTATATTAGTATAACATGCCAATTCCAAACTGCTGTTCACCAATACATTATTAAAAGCTGGCGAAATAATTGGGGTTTCTGATACTATACCTGTAACATTGATAAAATGTTTCAATATATACTAAGTAATACATCCAGATAAAAATGATCAAGAGAAATTTGCCACTTCGTCAACGGAAATTGAATAATAGTAATGTTCTTTAGGTAATTATGTAGTTAATTATTATTACCACATGCAAACTATGAAAGAACAAAGAACAATTATTTATAAAAATGTAATTTAATTTATTTCTAAAAAGGCATGCAACAAAGAGATAATAAAATAATGTAATAACTATCTAAAATTCAAATTGTTATCATAAGTTTTGTTTCAAACTTTTACGATCTAATTCAATAATGTCTTTCGTAAGTGTAATGTCACAAGTCTTAAAAGTAAATAAATTACAGTTAGTGGCCAAAACAAGTAATAATGCTCGCAACATCATAATATACAACCTGGCATTGTCAAAACAGTAAGAAAATGTATGAATCTTAATATATAACGACAATAATACGTCACCATGGTATTATATATTTCACAATAATGGTTTAATAATATAAGTAGCTGCAAAACAGACTAATTTAAAACAATATGTAGATAAAACTCGGAAAGTCTTTTACGAAAGTCTTTTATTATAAAACAGAACTTTAATAGTAATTTGTTACGTTCATAAACAAAACCGGACAATGATACATACGAATATACTACAAATATTTATTTACTCACTTGTGTCACAATCGATTCCTTCAAAATATTTTAAATAACGTGATTAAAGACAGCACGATTTACTATTATTGTTCATCTCTGCGACAAATATTGATCTATTGATACATACAAATACAATCAATCAGAGTCACGTACGCAACATTATCTGTAAAGTTCAAAATTTATTTAATTTCCTAATTATTAATAGGACAATAGTTGTGTTACAAATGTCAAGGAAGTTGTTTCAAGGAAGTTAAATTGGTCTTCCGATGTTCTCATTAATGTTTGAAATGATTTACTTATATGAATACAGTACATATTTGTATATTAAAGAATGAACAAGTGCTCAGATATTTATAACATAGCGTACTCAAGTAAACCCGTTAAGGCCTCAACAGACGGTAGTACAAAACAAACATACTACATACAAGCAAACTGCAATGTCTGATAGCCACTATTTCTTGAATTACTTGATTCACAGGATTGAACATGTAATGTTATGTCATAATGAAATTCCTGTTATACATACCACGAACGATGACATGTAAAAGACTACCAAATTATATTATTACCTGTACGTTTAATGAATGGAACTTCAAACTATTAGGGATAAATTGTAAATAAAATCTGAAGGTGTAGAAAAGAGACTGTTGGAAAAAGAGTTGAGTAGCCGGATTGGTTGGATGTTCGAATCCCAAATACACAGACTAAGAAGTTTTAAATTAAAATGGGGGCAATTCCTTGCTGTGATTTTTTTCAAATTAATATAAAAACAATTCTTCACACCGTAAGACCTGAACAGACTTTGTTATTTCATTATAATTCAGTAGTACATGATAATTTTTGTAAATGCTCCTTCCTTGATATCGTAAGCCAAATCAATTTTCTACCTCTTCAAAAATATCCTTAATTGGTCAATACCAACAATTAAAACAATTACAGATATTCCAGTTATAATTTTGTCTAAATTCTGCAAGGGATCTTTGTGGAGATTCATAAAATATAGGATAACGGTCTGAATGCACGTACATGTGCTGTATTGTTATGGAAATTGTACATATTATCTTTCTTTGATATTTCTTTGATCTAAATTCTACCGTCTGTTGAGGCCTTAAGACGATTATTTTTATAACTTTAACTGTTCAGTCAAACAGTATTTTACCTTGTTATAAAAGGCAGCAAATTTGAAAACAAAATGTTTTAACTAATGGGGCATACAGAGATCATAGCTGTCCTGCTCTCCTTGTTCTGGCCATTAGTTGCTTACTGGTCCAATATAGAAATTATAGAAACTTGGAAGCAGAACATCTCATTTCAGTAACATTTATTTAACTGTTTTGAAATAATCGTTTCATGTTTGGTAATTTTTGTATATAAGAAAACAAACAAACACAAAAGCAATGTATATACAAGTATTTCAACAGCGAGAACTGCTGCATGAAAACAAACCTGGACTTTTTTAGTTTGAACATATTTTTTTGCCATAAATATAAACATATTATACAAATAATAATTCTATATCAAAATTCAAATCGGTTGGGCGAAATATTGTCACAACATTAGATTAAGCTCTTCCTACATACGTGGATGTTTCTTAATTCATAATTTCACTATTTACATGTTAAAATAGTAATTCTGCTTAAAGCGGTGCTAGGGAGCAAAAGTCCATAACCTGACTAGATCAAACAAAGCCTTCACCACTTTTAATTTCGCCATTTTAGGCACTCTTCAACGTTCCATTTTTAAACGCAACTAAAGTTTTCACCTACATTTTATTAATAAAGTCAAGCAGAAATATAATTTGAAGATCTGATTTACACACAATACACATATTTGCTTAAAACCTTGTGATTTTGAAGAGCAAATGTCAAATCATTTATCTTTTGAACCAAAATACAGACAAAATCCAATTAAACGACCTCATTTCAATGTCATCAGACAAATTTCAATAAATTTGGCGCTGTGGTCTAGGTGCAGATGAATTGCGGACAACATACCTCAATCTATATCAAGCTAACAATCCAGATTTACTATATATTATAATAAATTTAATGTATTATAATTATGGTGACTTTATGCGCTCATTTTTTCGCTGTCAAGTTGGGCCGAATGAGATTTACATATATATCAAGAGATTCGCTAATATGATGAAGATTGACCAATAAATATTAATAAAAAATGTGTAGGATAAAGTATAAAAACTACTCTAATTATAAAAGGGTGCCACACTCTTTTTGAATGTACCGATACATTAAAGTTGTTGACAATACTTTTGTAAAAAACGTCAAAGAAAATAACAAGACTTATATCTGAGTCTTCAATTATTTGATTTTTTTATTTACAATTTAAAATTAATTTCATGTCATTGCAATATGAAGTTTATGCTGGTGTTCTATTTCCTATAGAATGGTATTATTCAAGATTTCATCCCTTGTATTACACACCGTATTACAGGTGCCAGTGATGATAGATTGATGCTGTACTGTTTGGTGATGTTTGTAGATTGTAGCACAGTTATGCCACGGCATCGTTCTTGGGCATTACCTGTACAAGTAGCTTTCACTTTTGCAAAGAACTGATAACTTCCTAACATGCCAGAGCAGAGGTTCAGCGCAAAAGAGCGTAAAAATGATTCAATGATCAATCACAACAACTGTAACCTGCATCTTCCGAAAGTCGAACTCGCACATGTCTGCGTTATTAGATATACTTGGTAAAATAGCATATATTGTCAAATATTGATAGAGAAGAAAATGCATTTGGAGAGACATTTTGGAAACTGGGAAAGAATAGAATAATGACTAGTAAGCTATGTCATTCTTTTGTATTTTTCTGAATTGTTATCCAAGAGGGTCCATGTGATTCACAAATGTGAATTATGCGTTTTCATTTGAATGAGAAGACAATAGAAATTTAGATCTTGATAGAATATAATTTAGGTAAATTTGAGATTACATACATCATATTCATATTATAAACACATTCTTTTATCAAATACAAATATGACAATTTATATCATCAACAAACAGAATCAAAATAGTTTTGTCTATCCATATACTAGCACAAAAAACATTACAGTAGTAATATTCATCATCAAGCAAATATTCAAACATTGAGGTAAAATAACCTTTATGAATACATTATTGTACAATTAGATTACTTATAACACACAAAATAGGGAGGGATAGGAGGTCAAAATAGAATCTTAACATGTGAACTACTTGCCAACCAAATACAGAATAAACTAAAACTTTAGAGGTGAAATAGACAAAAATGTTTACCGCTAAAGTTATAAGCGACCAGTAGAAAAGTGTTTATTGTCTACGTAAACCATGAATTAAAATCCACTAATAAAAATAATTATAACGATAAGCTATATTCAACCTTATAATTAAGTTATTTACAGTTCAAAATAAACAATAGTTCATAAGAGAATGCAAACAGGAGGGTTTTAGTTAACTGTATAACCTGAACATATCATTAGTTGGAATTATCTTAAAATATTATGTACAACAGGTACCATATGCTTTGTGAAAATTTACAGATTTAAATGTTTATGTGAAAATATATAAATATGAACTAAACGTGAAACAAATCAACTAAATTTTGTACAAAACGAATTGGTTAGTATCCATATTTTTGTTATAGGATATGTTTTGTATTGTCATATCTATATATTCACAGATTGTATCCTTATCCGTTTTGATTCCTTGCATCTCAATGTATGCCCCTCTTGCAGTACATTGCTTATCAATTTGTTCATAAACATTTTCTGCATCATTGTCATTATTCCCAGTAGTAGCCTGATATTCAGTGATAACCTCTAGAACAAAACAGTTTAAGAACAATTGAAAAAGCATTGAAATCTTAATAGATTCACTGTACTGCAGCATTCAAATATCACGTCCCGCTATGACTTGTAAAGTAATCAAACGTGAATACATTTTGAATAATAACACTTACTTTTCCTTACTATACACTTGATAAAGCTTAAATGTAAGATTAAACTCTGATAGAGTGATCATGTCAGGGCATGCTTAAAAGGCTTTAGCATGTTTATTTAAGATAGGATATTCTGTTAATGGCAAAAGTATCGTTCTTATTTTATTAACTTTTTATCATTACTAAGCTAGCTTTTTATAATATTTCTTAATGTTTATATTATTTTGTTTCATTGTGTCTAATAATAGAATAGCAGATTAAACTGCATACCAGCTGTCTTTCTGTCTTTTGTCTACGAAGTCTGCTTACGTCTGAAATGAAAGATAAGTAGTGATAAAGAAACAGCAGTTAAATAGCTGCAGATATACTTTATCCGCATGTTCTATAAATACTTATTGCATTTCTTTATATAAAAGAGAATAAATATTTGATAAGCTTGTAATGTTATTAACATTTCGAACGAGGTAAAATAGACTGACTGTGGTTAAAATACGCAATTGTATTACTTTTTGCGTACCAAGTCATGAAACAATGACTTATTTTTATATTAATTTGGGGTTTGGTTCTTTTTTGTGTCATTGTATGGGTGTGTGTGTGTTTTATTTTTTATTTATTGCTGTTTACTTTTTCAGGGGGGCTTTTTGTTGTTGTTGTTAGAATATTTGTTGTTTTTTATCTGTTGTTGTTGTTGTTGTTAATGCTTGTTTGTTTGCTTTCTGGGTTTTTTTGTGTGTTTTTGTTTGTTTGTTTGTTTTTGTGTTTTTGTTTGTCTTTGGTGACATTTTCATTACCTGATATTTATCCAAAAGAATAATTCCATTATAATCACTAAAAGTGTGAAACTAGATATACCAACTGCGACCCTAAATAGTGTCGAGGCTGTAAAAGGCTCAGTTGACTGCTGAGGAGCTGTATTTAATAAAGAAATATAAAATTTCATTAGTTACAAACAATCATGTTATTTTCCATTTCATATTGGTAAATTATCATTTACTATAACATTCATGAAGAGCAATAATGTTATTACCTATAATAATAAACCCGTCAATAAATGATAATATTTAAATTTAAAAGTAAATACTAGTTTAAGTTATATACATATTTTGGAGTTAAGTAAGTATAAAAATTAAGTCTGTAAAAAATGCAAATATATGTTTGATAATATTTTTGTAATGAATTGAGAACACGTAAAATGCTAGATCACGCGGAAAAGGGAAAAGCAGATATGAATAATAAAAGGAACGGAAGGATGGTGCTACTTCATCGTCATTACAAACTACTTAATCAATATAACATTACTAATGGCCAGTCGCCCAAAACAAATGATAATTCACCCATATGCCAAAAAAGTACCGTTACAGAAACTTTAAATTAACATCGGATAAGGACTTTTGATAAATGAAAATCATAGCATTGGTGTGCTTAATGGCCTTGAAACTTTTTATTCTTTGGGTCAGTTATCATAAAAGTTTACTTATGAAATAAACATTTATGTTTGTAGAATTTTAACATTAACTAGCTTTTACCATTTTCCAGTAATTCATAATAGTGTGAACAATTTCCATATGAATTCCTGACAGAAACACGGTACTGTCCATAATCTGAGTAAGTAATGTTTCTGATGATCAAGTTAGACTGTAACCCATTAGATGATATAATATACTTCTTGTCATTTTGTAATGACACGTTCGAGATCTGTTTATACCATGCGAATTCTGTTTTGTTTTGCTCGTCAAAAAAGTCTTGAGCGAAAAATTTCAACGTGACGTCACAATGCAGCAGAGCAGTTATATTTGTCTCTTTTAATGTATCAGGTGACGGACATGGAGGACCTTTAAATATAATCAACAATATAGATAATTTTTATCTAAAACTCATAAATTCCTCTAGTAAACATAACTTGCCGTTCAATGCTTCTTTAATGTGAAGTAAATATGATCAATAAATTAATTAATACTAGTAAGTACAATGTTACTCAACGGTTATCGATAATGTTTTCAAAGCTATAATTTTTTATGTTAGGTCCTATTTCAGATCAACGCTTTCTATAGATTATTATATAATAAATGAATTGACAGAAAAAAATGAATAGCAGACAGGAGAGGAATGGTAAAACTTACATCTCACGATCAGGACGAGTTTTGATTGTGCTCCTTCTCCATTTGTTAACATATTTCTAGCAGAGCATACATACTCTCCTGCATCAGCACAAGATACACTATGAATAATGTGTTGAACAGAATTTGTATTTTTCATCATTATGATTTCTTTATCTCTTTGATTTCCAATTGCAATGTCTGGATGAGGATTAGACTCCGCGAAGCATTGAAAAGTCACCTCTTCATTTTGGCTTACAGTCAACTTTCCTCCTGCCTCCGTTCCAAAGTTGAAACGAACTTCACGCGGTTGAACTGAAAGAAGTGTCATATATTTAGTTAAGCGATTATTTTATTGTTGAGTTAGATATGTCTTAAAAGCGATGTATTTGGAACAATTCCTTCCAAATATAATATAATTTTCTTACATAGCATTTAGAACGTGACATGGAGATATAACTAATAGGTGCATCTGTATCTTGTAACTTACAACACTTTAATACTTGAAGTCGTTGTTCTATTTCCGTTGCGGGTCCAAATCCTCCAAGGCCCTCGATACCATATCTGATGTATACCTTAGCTCAACTAAATCGGTAGGCTTTCTGCAGTGTTCACAGTTATCTTAATGAATCTACCGATAAGCAGTGTACCATGTACATGAAAATTATTCTAGCAATAACATATTTTCAAACATGCACCAATGCAATTAAATATTTTCTCTTAACAGGTAGTTGAAGAATTAATCAAATTGTGGATAGAAAAATGAATATTCAGTAACAGTTATTGACACATTTAAAAGTCAAAGTATTTAAATGAAATTCAACTCACACAGCACATCAAACGTAACATACGATGTTTGTTTACCACTAATGATATGATCAGACTCGCATATGCATTGACTGTGATTGCGACTCTCTTGCCGGGTAATGTACACTGTCACCGCCGTTTCTTTGGTAACAGTTGGTGTTGAATTACTATTTAAACATGTCATTCTTAAGGTTGCTAATGGTTTTCCACCAGTAACAGAACAGTTCAATTTAAGCGCTCCTGACTCGGCAACCTGTATTGTAGAGCCGTTGCTGTAGCTAGCTATTATTGGGGGACCATCAGGCGGATCTTAAATGACAAAACGCAATAGCGTAAAAACATTATTTTTGTGGCATACTTGTCTTTGTCGCTTCATTAATAGGCCAAACCAAGAATTTAAGATCACTTCCTCCGGTGTACAATTATTTTTATTACAATATTTGCATTTTACTTTTTGCTAAGGCAGACAGTTTTCGAACTTGAGAACCAACAAAAATGTCCTTTTTGAGAAATCTATAAATTTGCATGCCTACGAATCTATCTGAATTCAGTAAGTACATTTACAGATGATTAAAAAGCTTAAAATCTTTCATTTTAGACAAAAACAATAATAAACTTATTTTGGTATGAACAAAAGGAAAATAAATGTAACCGAAGGATATAGTACAAAAACGTACATGCTACGTTCAGTACAAATTCCTTGCTTGACTTGTCTGCTTCTTTCGGCTGTGTCCATACTGCGCAATATAGATGCCAGCGGTCTTGTGTTCTGTTAGGAAGAATCCGAAGAATACTTTCAGCTATTGTCAGCCAGTTTTCTTTTGGAATATATAATTCTGTCGATTGGTTTGTTATATCGTAGGTTATATTGTTGATGGGATTCCGTAAGTACCATTTAACTAATGGTTTTGGTAAACACGCTGAGGTTTTGCAACTAACAGTTTGGATTTTATTTTCATTGATGTAAATGCTATTATTTGAATGAAAGTCAAAGATAACTTCCGTGGCAGGAACTGCAAACATATATATACAATGAACTATGAAATTGTCAATTCAAACATTAGAAACCTTCTAAAAATAGATTGATCATGAATCTTTTAGGCGTATTTCAAATGTGTATGTTTCCTGGCTTTACAGCTGTGAAATGTTGCCTCATACTTCATTGCAGTGTTGTTTTATTTTTCTTGTCCTTCGGGGTTTCGGATTCCAGCACTTTTAAGTGTTGAAAATTGAGAACCTGCTCAAGCCGGTGTTAGGGGTTGTGACGGGTGTTGCATTTTTTTCAAAATCCCTTATTTACAGACTCAAACAAACCGAGTCTGCAATAATTCTGTTTTCATTTTAGTCGAAATTGGTATTTTGCAAGTAAAAATAACCAACTTTTTTAGTCATTGCCTACAAATTTATATTAACTTTTTATTCATAATGCATATTTTAATTAGAGAAATTTATCACACAGTTAATAAAATGACCTTTATTGATATTAGCCTGACAATGAATATTCATTTATCTAGACCGTCATAACTTTTAAACTGCAATACAATATACTAAAATCATACATTCTTACCTCGAACAGTAATATAAGAAATATTACTCTTTCTATTATCGGCGTAACAATACCATTCTTGACCATGGTTACTTAAATTCACACGTTTTATGTTTATTTTGAAGGTGCCGTTACTATAGCAACTCGTTTCAAAATATTGATTGTCACCTAGGAACCCATCTGTTATACAGCTTCCATTGTCCGAAAAATACAGGTGCGAAAATGTGTCCAGGTGATTTAAACTTCCCCATTGTGTACTTTTTACGTTCTTGTTAGTATAACATGCCAATTCCAAACTGCTGTTTACTAATACATCATTGAAAGCTGGCAAAATAATTGGGTTTTCTGATACAATACCTGTAACATAGATTAAAAATATTTTCTGTATATTCTTACAAATATATTAAGTGTAACTGCACTTTATGGCTAAAATCATTTCCGGATCATATATACAATGTTTCATTAAAAGGAAGGCAATTTATCAAAATAAAAAAATGTCAGAAGACATAACCAATTTGTTAACAGAAATTGAACAATCTGATTCAGCAAATTTTTGAAACTATTCTATGTTAACGTATTTAAATAGTAATGTACAATATGTCTGTCATTACTTATTTAATCATAATTAATACGTGCAAACTTTGAGAGTAGAAAAGACGAAAATAATAATTTATATAATGTTATTTAACCGTTTTCTAAAATCAATTCTGGAAATTGTCCCTGACTTTAGATCATTAAATCATTTTTTTTATTAAAACAACGGCCTTTTTTAATGCCATGTAATAGGATTACATTGTTAAAGATAGCAGGAAATAGCAAAAACTTGCAAACGACATCCATGTTACAAATACATTTTCAAAAATATTTTTAGATTTTTCAAGAGTCATGTTGGTTATTAATTATTTTTGCGTAGTAGAATTTATCAAATTATTTTTAATTTTAACTTTGTACTCGGCATTTACACTTCGATGGGTCTAATGGCGTTTGATAAATCAACATTTTAATCTTCTTATAATTATATTATGTTAAATAAGTAATTTACTTATAAAAGCTACAAATATGCAGGGCTTCTTATTGTCGGTAGAACTGTATGACAAAAGGCCTGCAAAAGAGATATTAAATGTATTAACTATTTAAAATTTGACGCGTAATCATTATAATTGTTTATATTATTTTCGACCTTAATTCTTCATTTAAACTTGATAATGTCTTTCGAAAGAGTAACATTCACATGTTTCAATAGGTCTTAAAGCTGCATGCATTCAGATGAGCCAAAATAAGAGTATTTTAAGACAATCAAACTTGAGAAAAATGTACTAAGCTTATGGAAAAGTAAAAGGGCTCAAGATCAAATTAAAGTTTACATTTTATAAGCAATTAATGGCTGATTTTGCAGTATTTATTACCATATTTCTAATGCATGACTAACGCAATAATTGCTTTTTTTGCACATTTTTCCTCGTTTTGGTAATTTTCGTGAATCGTAATTGACGTTTGCAATAAGTAAATTACTTTCTTTGTTCCCTTCACACGATTTTACTTTTAAAAAGATTTTATTTATTTTTTTATGAATACTGGCATGGATGTGGAGGCATGCTGGTTTAAATGCAAATTAACAAAACTTACAGTTAGCTCCCAAAACAAGTAACAGTGCTCGCCACATTATGTTTTGTACGACCTGCCATTGTCAAAGTAGTAAGAAAACGTACGCATCTGAACATAATTGTAAACTTTATATAACAAAAATTATGCAAAAGAATACATTAAACGTCATCATGGTAATAATCATGTTAAATAGTTGTTTTGATATAAGAATCTTCAAAACCGACGAATTTAAACAATATGTTGATAAAACTTGGCAAGTCATTTTAAAAAGTCATTAATAATAAAACAAAATTTGATAATAATTTGTTACATAAATAAACCCAATAGAGCATTGATACATAAAAATACACCCAAAATGGTTATTTACTTACTTGCGTCACAATCATTTCAAATAAAATATTTTTATAAAAGGTGATTGAAGACATCAAAGTTCAATGTAATTGTTCATCTCTGCGACAAATGTTTATCTATTGATACATACAAATACAATAAATCAGCATCTCGGACGCAACATTGGTGTAAAGTAAAATATCATTAAATTTCCTGATCATGAATAGAATAATCGGTATTAAACAAATATCAAGGAAGTTAATAAAGTTTCAAGGAAGTAAAATTGAGGTTCTAAATTTCTTATTAATGCATGAAATGATTAACATAGATGAAAATACATGTGTGACAGGTTCATATAAGTACATGTTTATATGTGTTATTGTTTGTCCTATTAAATGTCCTATAGCTTTAATTTTCATCATAAATTACATTCATCCCCATATAAATCATATATTATAACACTCCAAGTGATTTTTTCACTATAGACAAAGAAAGAAAAAAAAATGGTGTTAAACTACTAATAAACACTGGTTAGGGACTACTTGTATATGCGGCTGTTATGTTTTAACCCTCGATTATATAGTTTACAAAGCCTTTTAAAGCAACAATAAAAAGCATTTTTGTTTATATTTTCAGTTCTTATAATGTTTTCTTTTCATACAATACCGAAATAATATGTCACATACACTAACGCCACATATTTGATTCATATCAGTTAATAAATTTTTTTGACAAAACGGCGCCAATCCGTAAGCAGCGTAATAACGTCATCCTAAGTAAACAACTCATTCATAAACAAGCTGATGTTATTTTATACATACAAGAATGATTAATGGGGCACTGATGTAAACACAATACGACGTAAGTTTTTATTGTTGAAAACTTGATAAAATAACGTTTTTTCTTATTATTTTTTTTGTTTAATAATTTATATATCTTCGCAAGAGTAGGGTGCGAAAATCGAACAGCGTTATACGAAAATCGGCACCGGAAGTTATTTCCGCTTGAAAAAATAACATTAGTGATCTTCCTTATTCTATCGTGTTAAAATCGAAATAACATCGTCCTGAGAGGTGTATATCGGCTATTTAACACCGGTTTGGAGTTTTGATGCGTAGGAATTGACCACGAAGGCCGTAGGCCTGAGTGATTAACTTTTTTCGCATCAAAACGACATAAATAAATACCTCTCAGGTCGATGTTATTTCTTAAGTAACCACCATTACGGGCCTCTCTACCTAACTTTCTACTTCATTGATTATCTACACTACGCATGCGCACTATTTTGAAAGATTTTATGGCGAGAGCCTTGATTCTTGATGTTTAATAAATTAACTGAAAAATTACTTGTGTATTTACAGACCCTTTGTCCAGGTCCCAAGTATCTAAACCCACATCATCCATTAGACATCCTTATCTTTTGGACTGCGACAATTGGCCCCCAACGGGGGATTGGGCTGCCACAACGCTGGAGTTATGGGTCGATAGTTCCTGGGACTGTGTTGAGCTGTGTTCAGTCAGCCATTTTGTTTATGTACATTTACTACTTGTTAAACAATGGTGGAATGTATAAATTTTATCTTATTTCAACGTCAGTTAACCATTGGCAGTGATTTTTTGTGATATTCTGAAATGAATTAAACCAGATATTTGTGTGCACAATTGTTTTCTAGTAAATTATTAACTAGCAACTGAATCAATTTCTACTTTCGTTTTCAAATTGATATCATATTTCGCGATCGACAACACGGATGACATTTTCTATTAAAACGTCTAATTATTCATAGAAGAGGGATACATTTTAGGATTTGGAACTGTTTAACTCGGCTTCAGTGAATTTCAGTGCTATTAATATAAAATATAACTTTTAATCTAAATAGAATTTATTGATTGTACATGTCATGCTATTTTTCTATTTTTGTGACTCTCAATATTTTATTTAATTTTCAGATTTGTCATAGAACTGGTTGTTGTATTGTTTTACTGGTCATCTTGAAGAATCACAGTTGAAAGGTTGTTCATCTTGGCAGAAGGATCTTAGCATGTTTTCTGTAACATTACTTTTCCGGTGATGGGTGAGAATCTTACTAACATTTCCCATCATAAGCCCTTAATATTATAGATTTTCCTTACATAAAAACCTCTCCAATTTCCAATATGCCCTTCCTTGATGTACCAGTCTCTATTTGGATAATATAGCATATATATTTATGTTTATATTATGGTGATATGTTTGGAAGCCAGCTTGGAACAGATATTTATTAGAAACCTTGAACGTGTATAGTTTGTCAGTGGTACTGGTAAGTAATGGTAGTTTAAAGTGTAGTCTTCAACTGATCATGTTGTGAGTACATTTAGTAAGAGTGCCTTTGATGGTAAAGGAACTATATTGTTTCTCTTGAGATCAAGACAGACTGTTGATTTTCTCTTTTGTTATATTGAATGTGACTCAAGTGAAATCTTTATGTATTGAAGGATGTGACTTTCTATATATTTGTTTGCAGGTCAATAAATATATACACTTTTGATATATGCACTGCTGTAACTTTATGCTGTTAGTGTATTGGAGAAAAGTAAACTTTATTTAGCACTTTAAAATTTATAAAAAAAATTGACTGTTGCTGTATATTTTAGAGAAATAAAATTTTGTTGTTTGTTTTATTCAAAATCTGACATCACGTTCAGATATTAGTATCTTAAAAGTAACATCCCTGTGGTGAAGTACTTTAGTAACTATATATACAAACAATTTATTCCAAGGGTGCTGAGTGGCAATTGATGAAAGATATTGTACAGTGTACTTCATAAGATAAGAAAGTGTAAGGTGTACTTGAATTAATTGAAACATTTACTATTGATCTTAAATGTGTCTCTTTTAAATAAAAGTATGGTGTGCAATTAGTGACATATTTAAAAAATTTGGAAATATTTCGAAGAATAGATAGAATTAATTCAGAAGTTTGCCATATTGAAGTACATTTTAGTTAACTAAAGTTGAGTGTATTTTGATAAGTTGCATACATTTACATTTTATACAGTGCAGTGTAAGGAACACAATTGTAATATGTCAATTTTGAGTGTAGAAATTACATAAATCTATATCTGATATGACTCTGTGATCAAAAAAGAGTACTCATAGTACATATGTCTTTTGATCTACTTGATTTTGTTAATAGTTTGAAGTAATTTGTTTGCTGTTTAGTTAATGTGTCAGCAGAGATGGATTCTACACATACTCTTACACACATTAGGGAAGATGAGTTAGAGTGTTATATTGAACAGATTGAACGTTCTGGTAGATATGCTGTTAAACCTATTACTTCTAGTACTGTTAACCCTGTCACTACTAGCACTCCTGTTCCTCCTTCATCCGGTTTTTACAAGGGATGCTACTCATACACCAATTAGAGAGTACAACAATAGACATTCAGGAGCATACTTTGTACTTTGTATCCACCTTCGTACTTATATACTTCTTTGTCTGTTAGTCACTCTCGTATTCCAAAACTACCCCAATTTTCAGGTGAAAGTAGGCCTGGTGATTGTGAGTTCGAGGTCTGGAAATATGACTTGCATTGTTTGTTAAGAGGTAGAATGTATCCAGACCATATTCTTCATGTAGCTATTCGTACACTAGCTTGAAAGGGAAAGCACGGACTGTTTTCTTGCATTTGGGTGAATGGGCTACTATTTCAGATGTTATAGCTGAATTGGAAGCTATTTATGGTAATGTGTCCACTTCTGAACACCTGAAAGAACAATTTTATTGTGCCAGACAGGAACCTAATGAGTCCGTAGCTTAATATAGCCTTCGGTTAGAGCAGATTCTTACCAATGCCAATCTCCATTAAGATAAATATGCCAAGAATGACATGCTTCGCAATCGTCTTTGGTCAGGGCTTCGGAATGATGAACTTCGTAATGTTTCACGTTACAAGTTTGAGTCCATCCAAGATTTTAATGTTCTTCGTAGAGAACTTAGGCAAATTGAACAGGATATTACAGCCCGTAAGTATGTTCACTTTTCTTCACCAGCTGTCACTAGTGCACCTAAGCCATCATCTTCTTCACGTAATTATTTATCTGGTATATCTTGTTCAGTGAAGATGTCTGTGGTTGAAAATGAGATTCTCCAGCAGTTAGAAGAAATAATCAGATGAAGAAACTCAATACCAGAGTTGAAACTGTGGAGAAAGAATTTGCCAGTTTTAAGAGGAAGGCTGAGCCAACAACTAAAGCTACCACTGGATCACAATCTCCCTGGTCTGATATAGTATATGGTAGACAAACCTATACTACCCCATCAGTCAACAATAAAGCGAAGGAGCACGACAACAAGTCTTTAAACGAGCAGATACCTTCACAGAAGGGCCAGTAGAAGGTCAGATGAATAAAAGCCCTACACTTGTACCTTAAGTTAGTAATTCTAATACCTCTGAAGTTCTAATCAATGGGATTTCTCACAAAGCTCTTATTGATTCGGAGTCTATAGTTACAACCGGAAGTGAGCCAATTTTTAAGAATCTTGGATCTTCTTTTAAGCTTTGCTTTTTAGAAGACTTTGTTATTGATATTTTTTCTGATGCTAATGACTGTTAAGTACCATATATTGGTTGTATTATATTGGAATTTTTCTGTACCTTCATTAGACTCATCTTCTATGTCAGTTCCAGTGTTAATTGTTCCCGACACTACTTATTCTGTCTCTGTTCCTCTTATTGTTGGTACCAATGTCATACGACATCTTTACTCAACTAGTAGTCAGAAGGATGTCCCTGATTGTTGGCAACAAGCTTTCTCTGCTGTTAATTTTCATCAGGCAATACATGTGAAATCTCTTAATCGTAGATGTTTTACAATTCCGCCGTATCAGACGATTACAGTGAATGGCAAGGTTCCTGATACTGGAGAAATGACAGTAGGTGTAACTGAAAGTCTTTACTCTTCTCATTATCTTAGTGTTTGTTCTAGGGTTGTAAATGTTAGACCAGGTAATGTTTTATCAAAGATTCCAGTACGAATTTGTAATCTTTCGGCAAGACCTGTAAAGATTGGTCCGAAGGCAGTGTTATGTAACCTGAAGCCAGCTTAAAATGTGTGCGTAACCTTGATCCGTCAGAGGGTTCTATTCCTAAAGACCACAACCAAGATAAATCTCTTGAAGATTAAGGTATCAACATCCCTTCTGATAATCTTTCTCTTGAAGAACAGACCCAAGTGACTGAGTTTCTAAACAAGTGAAAGTATATTTTTTAATCTGGTTTAACAGATCTAGGGTGTTCAAATTCTGTTGAACATAAGATCGAGTTGTCTGATCCTACTCCATTCAAGGATCCGTATCGAAGGATACCACCAGGGATGTATGAAGAATTGCGTGAACATATTCAAGATATGTTGAAAGCTGGTGCGATAAGGCCATCACACAGTCCATTCTCCTCTAATATAGTATTGGTCAGGATGAAAGATGGTTCTAT